AACGCTGCTAAATTTCTCCACAGATATACCAGGAAAAAAAAAAAAAAAAAAAAAAAAGAAGAAAAGTAATATCGTTGCTTAATGATTTAAAAAGAATTTGCTGTTGGGTGGATCTTTATTAGTTTGTTGGGGGTGTTTTTAACAATCTATCTGCTGATACTAAAAATGAACAAGATTTTAGACAGGAAAGGCAGGATGGAGGAAATAAATGAATCTTTTTGTAACATAACAGAAACATTTTCAGCAGTGGAACAGTCCTGTATAGTAACTGGAAATCATCTAGAGATTTTTTTTTTTCCCACGGTGAAATCTGCAATACCAATAGAATACAAAAATTGACTGCAATTCTAGTCATTCACCTTGTCCTTTTACCACTAGAGGGCTGAAGGAACAGCTTCAACATGAGCTAGATTATCTGATAATTAGGCACTATTCGAATGAACACTGAGGATTTACATGCTTAGAAACAAGATATTGCTAAATTTAGAACCCTGGAGTTTGTAGCATATCTTCAGAATATTTCATCATCTTTGTTAGTGCAGAGATCCCTGAGCAAATTACCTCCAGTTTGGTTTAAAACTAGAAACTGCCCTGAAAAATGTGTGAAACACCTGTACTCCACCACGTTCCATTTCTGGTGCCTACTAGACTACTGGCAAAGCAATGCAGTAACATTCTGGCAACTGAATAAGGGCATCTGAAAGAGTAGCCCAATTTGCAAGCACTAAGCTGCCAAATATCAAACTTAGCTGAAGCAGTGGAAAAGCTACTTTGCTTGACAAAGTCCACAGCCACTTTCATATTGCCTTTGTGGACAGCTACCTGCTAGATTTTTCTACTTTTCCCTGTGATCGTGGCCTGAAGTTCCAGATTTTTATTTCAAAAATGCACCATCTGGTTGAGAGGGACCATGTGAGCGTGTAAGTTCAGCCCAGACACATGCATTCTTTAGCATATTTCAGTCCAAGCCTGTTCACTTTCGGACACAAAATAAGAAGGACAATTGTGTTGCTGTGGAAATGCAGAGCCAAGATCTGATGCGACAGTTCAACTTGTGCCGTGTTTGTTGCATGGCATACAAATCACCAGTCTGGCCTGGAAATTAAAGTACCACTCAAGATGAAAATATCACAGATTGTGAGGAAGCAGAAAGAAGTTCTGAGAGCACTGCAGCAGGTGACAGCTCTTCCTTTGGACACTGTGGTGTGATACACTTCCCAACAGGACACAGCAACGCCCCTGTGCTCACAGCCTGGGTCTGGAGCTATAGGCACAGCTCACTTCATTAAATATAGGTTTAGACACTGATGGATAGGCCTCCAAAAGGCAAAATTATCTATAAAGTTCTGTCAACCCAACTTCATTCAGTTTTCACTTGGATTCAGGAATCCTTACAGCTTGGCACGCAAAATTCAGCATAGACACATCTTTAATATGTCAACTCATGGACACTACATCTAAATCCTCAAAATGATGTATTGTGCAGTTTTTCAGGGCACTTGTCCAGTGGTGAATCATCGTGACTCAGGAGAATATGACAAAAGCCCACCAAAGTAGTTCAGGAAGTGATCCTTGCAAATTTTCAGGGAAAATGAGAAAATTCCTGATTTAAACCAATCTTTTTGACACATTTTTCTGCCTCTTAAGTCAAGATTTGGCACAAGATTTTATTTCAATCTTTTCTTTTAATGATAGAACTTTTTTTTCAATAAACAGTTTACTAAAAAAGAGTTTACAAAGCTCTTGCTTCTTCCAGAAAACCTTCTTTCTGGTGGCCTGGCAAGCATGATGATTATTTTGGCATTGCTGTGTGATTTCACAGTTCCATAGTCCCAAAGAAGGCAAAAAATTGCTTTGTTCTTCAGTTGACATCAAATTCCATTTGATTTAGTGGACAGCTACCATAAAAAAGGAGTAATAATTAGATGATAATCCATATTTTTGAGGCATTTTTATGCTATCCCCAGTACCAGAAGTCTGTATTACACATAGGGGTTTAACGGCATCACTAAGATTTTGAGCACATAATTTTTTTCCTGAAGATGACACTGTATTATTGAGAGCAGTATTTTGTCACCTTTCTGTAAACAGGAATAACAAAATATCTTAGACTTTTTATGCGTGATCATATGAAGTTAAAGTAATACGTATTTGCTTGTTTTTCAAAATGAATCATAAAATATATGTCCATTTATAAATTCTGCTTGCATGACACTTGGGACAGAGAAAATTCATTTTGCAGTGAATCAACAGCAAAGATAAGGTCAAAAATAGAATTTAAATAATTACTATTTTTAAATCACTGGTAGGTACCATGATGAAAATTTTAGCTTACTGTGTAGTTTTCTACAGAAAGACTAAAACTTAAAGATAAGGGATTTATATTGGAGTGTTGACTTTGAACTTCTCTAAGAGAGCTATACAATATTTAGGCATTATTCTGAGGGTTATTGTAGAAAATTTTGAGATTAGATGCATAGCAATAAGAAAAAATGAGCTAAGAACCACATCTGTAATTCTTCACCACTGAAAGAGATTAAATTCTTGAAATAATTCAGTTCAAAATTTGTGAAAATTAACTATTTATAGAAAAAAAAAGACACATAAAGATTCAATCCTTTAGCCTTGACATGAGCAAAAGTTAAAGAAAACCCAATGACATGAAGAAAATTGTATTTAATTGCAAGATTTCAGGATGAAACAATAAGTTTTCTGTTCTATGTGAAAAACACAGACATCTGCAGCATCTTGGATTACACCATATCATCCCACAGATATTGTTAGAGCCATTTCAGAGCCACAGTTTTTACTTAGCAACTTTTGGCTGAATCTCTTTCCTGCTGGTCAATATGTGATCATTTAGCAGTGATCATCTGTGCTAGAACATTCTGCAAAAGTTCCTATTTCCCTTTACCACTGACACCAGTGGAAAGAGCTCGTTGTGATTTCACTGAAGTTTGAATGCACTTTTGTGAGCGGTCTGTCTATGGCAGGTGTTTGTTATAAAAATAACTATCAATAGCAATTTTGATTATTGTTATATGCTGTTTCTTCTAGAAATGGCTTAAATACTTAATATATTATGTTTAAAAAGCTGAGAAGACTGTACAAGTTTTGTAGAACTAATGAGATTAGCTGTCTACTGCTCTCGTGTGAAGCCAAACCAGCTGAGATTGATCAGGACGTGACTCAGTAATATCTGGATGTACCGACAGACAAAAAATTTCTCTTTCACATAGCTACAGCAGCAGAGTCACTATAGGATTTCACTGTATCAGGGTTGCTTGCTATTTTACATATTTTATGCAATTAAGGACTATCTAATTCTCCTCTAATAAGAGAAACAACCAGTAATGTGCCATCTGGAACTTTTCTTCTCCGTTTGGTGTGATACGATAAATTATTTATCTTTCTCAAATCAAACATCATTTATTTATTAAATCCTATTCTTTTGCTAATAATTATTCCTGCTACTTAGTAGCCATAGCATCAAAGCCCTGCCAGGGATGAGCTTTCTAAAAAAAGGGCCTGAGCTCCTTGCAGAGCACAAATAAACAAAGCCCAGCAGGTTTTACAGCCTCAAATTCCAGCTCAGAAAAGGACTCGGTACCTTTCTGAAAGGCTTGAATTACAGAATCCAATCCCATTTAATGCATCCCTGCAAAACAATATTCTGTTCCCGCTGCCTCTCAGAAAAATCTATTAATATGGGTTTCCTTTGAGCATCTGCAATGGCACAGTGGAGCCATGATACACTGGCAAGTGGTGCTTATGTAACTGTGCAGCTTTTCCTCTTCTGGGAAAAAGCCTTTCAGGGTGGTAATGGTAGTGACAATGCTGCAAACCACATCCAATAGCGACCGTGATGTAGAAATCAGGGCTGTGGTATGATGCTAATTAGCAACACTTCAATTTCATATGGTTTATTTATTCCGTTCTAGTACTTCGTAGTTCTTTCACAGTTTTGAAAGGGATTATTGAAATTCTGCATGGATCAGTCATTATGGGAATTTCAGTATTAAAAGAATTGGTCTTGCATAAATGTGCTTTGGCTCTGTAAAACTTCATTAACCCTCCAGCAGAGGGCAACATCTGAAAGAAATATTTCTATAAACCCAAAGAGCAGTTCCTTTTTGGGTATTGCAACTGCAACATATGTTTTCATCAGGGAATCTTCCTTTGAAAATACAGTTTGCATTTAGTTACCCACTGGGCAAGTGAAGGAGATAATAATATTAGAAGGACTTGCTTAAAACACAAATTTTAATTTTTTTTTCAAGTAGCACATTACAGAAACTTTAAAATTAAATAAGAGAAATATAACGGCTATGACTTAGAAATACCGATTTTTGCATCTTCCATTTTCTTCAAGGAGATAGAAGTTTACTGTTATTACATTCTGAAAGGCAAAATAATTGTCTTCAGAATATGCTCAGTTCATTCCTGTGCTGTAAATACCACAAATCAAGACTGTGTTACGGCGGCCTACCCAGAGGCATGAAAACAGGACCAAAAAAGAGGTGGAAAATATTAAATGCTTTAGAGAAAGCAGTCACTAGTGGATTCCTAATACGATCTAAAACAAGCTGCGTGAGTAAACGCGGATATAGGGGCAAACATACCTGTATAAACCTGTATCTGTACACCGATACAAACCTATACCTCTACCTATGGAAGCAGATAAGGGTGTTACCTGCGTGCAGCACCACAGCAGCCCTGCAGCGGCCGGGCGCGCCGGCCCTGCCCGCACCAAGGCCCGCTTCTCGGGGCGCGGCGCTGGCCGCGGTGCTGAGGGGACCAAGCGCCGGCGGAGCGGAGCCGCGGAGCGCGGGGGGCACGGAGGGAGGGAGGGAGGGAGGGAGGGAGCGGGGCGGGGGCCGCGCACGCGGGCCGGGGGGTTCGGCCCGGCTCCGGGCGCTCGGCAGCGCCTGCCCAGGGCGGCGAGCGCACCCCGCCCCCGCCGCGCCGCGGACACGCCGAGCCGGCGCTGCCGCCGAGAGCTCCGGCCCCTCCGTGCCGGGCATGGCTCTGCCTCCGCCCGCCGCTGCTGAACCCTGCGAGGCCGAGGAGAGTTTCTGACCGTGCCCGGCAACTCCGCGCTGCCGGGAACCCCGGGGGCTGCCTGCAGCGCGCTCCGACGCCCCTCTCGCTGCCGCACACAGGCGCGCTCCCTCGCCCTCGCCCCCCCCGACTCCGCACGCCGTCTCCACCTCGCTCACACACACACGCGCGCACTCTTCCTCTCATTCTCCCTTTACCCGTAGGTGAACCGATAGCCATTGAATGAGGACGAAAAGTTAAGAGATTAAACCAATATGAACCATCGTTGCTCGTAGCAGTGCCGTATCCAGAGCAGAGCATTATCCAGCGAGCATCCCCAAAGGAATGGAGTCGGTAAAACAAAGGATTTTGACTCCCGGCAAGGAGGGATTGAAGAATTTTGCTGGAAAATCGCTTGGGCAACTCTACAGGTAAGACCGATTCTCTTACAGGATTCTACTTCCCAGGAAAATTTGGAAGCTTTTCGTAAGCGCCCGTTGCTGCAGGAGGTCGAACGCTTTGAGGTTAGCGGTGGCAGGGTTGGGAGCTGTTGCCATTCTGCTGGATATAATCTAGATCCTGGAAACTAGTGCTGAAGCTGCTCAATATGGCACCCTCGTAACTTCCCTATCTGACTCGTAGATGTTGTCAGTAAAGATGCAGCAAAAGATTACCCCACCTTTCTTCTACAAAAACAGGATCCCATCTTGAAATCCTAATCAGGAGAGAGCAGCAACCTGTATTTTTGTTCCATCTTAATTTTCCAATGCACTCACAGGATCTTGCCCCCTGCCCTTAACAAATATATATTTTTTAAAATCTGGTTTTGATTAGTCTTGTCCTTTGTGTAATTCGTCGTCAGATGAAGGTAAACATGGAGACGTATAAATAATTGATATCCGAACGATTTTTTTTTCTCCTGAAGCTGAAACATATAGAGGAATGTGTTTAATTATTTATCCATCTGCCTTTAGAAGCATCTGCTTGTCCTATAAATTATATACAGCTGCAATTGCTAAACTCAAAAGCATCACTCTTGTATATTTATGTGTGTAAAGAACATTTCTATCATCTTCGAGCCCTGTGCACACAGATAAATAAACCCAGATTCTTGCATGCCTACGAAGTGCGTGCACTAAAGTTCACACATCGTTCTCCATCCAATCTGGTGACTTTAGTGACCTCCACAACGTTTGAGAATAGTCTGTAAAATCGAATAATTTTCGATGGTACCATCTGCTAGAAATTACCCCGAAATATTTGTTTTGGCTTGGGGTGTTTTGTTAGTTTGGTTTGATTTTTGGTTGTTTCTTTGGGTTTTTTGGTTTGGTTTGGTTTGGTTTTTTATGTTTGTTTGGTTTTTTGGTTTGGGGGTTTTTTCGGAATTGCAGCTATAAGGTAACTGCGGATTTGTCTGCCCAGGGTAGGTCACGTAAAAATCTTTTTTCCATACCTATGCGGCAGTGCTGGGCACAGACACCAGGCTGTTTCACAGCATGAGTCACAACTTCTGCTGCCATTTTAAGGGAAGGGGACTTATCAGTGAGGTGATATAGACAAAATTAAGGCTTCCATTTTCATAGGAAGTGTACCATTAAGAAAAGCCAAAAACAAAATTAAAGTCATCAGCAATGCAATTCATTTCCTACGGTTTTTGGTAATATTTAAGTAATTTTCAATAGTGGAAAATTAATAATAATAATAAAGGATAATCCAGAATAACTGCTTAAACTATAATTTAGGAAATACACCTTTTTTTCGTTCTTAAAGACTCTACAACATTTAAATAAAACTATAATCTCTACTACTTGTAGTCACACAGTGAATAATGGAGAAACGGTGTTTGTATTTTCCAGCAAAACTCCGTTTGAATTCACACCTCGACTAACAAACGCGTGATTTGCTGATCTTTTTCAGCTCACGGCAATTAAGTACTTTGTTTACTTTTCTTAGAATTTAAACAATTTTCTTGCCTCTTACACATTGATTTCCTGCCTATTTCCGAAGACAAGACGCTCATTCAGGGAGAAAGCACTCCTACCCTTTATCCACACGAACGAATTTTGAACATAAACCCACGGTGGTTTATTTTATTCACAACTTTAACACATTTCTTAATGCCGCGATCTTTAAGCGTAGAAATAATACGCTCAGAAAAGAAAAATCAAGAGAATTTCAGCTGTGTCGTTTTTGGAGAAAATCCCTGTATTTTCTCTCGAACACGGATAACCTTTTAAGCCTTATTCTGCTAATTGTTACTGCCCTATCAGCCGGATGAGTTAACCTGAAAGAGATGCTCCTCCGAGTGAGAAAACACTTCTACAGCAGAGTTGAGAGGCAGCGGTTGTAGAGTCCAGAGTGTCCGAAAATGGTCACGTATTTGCTTCTCAAGACGACAAAATCGGTTAGCTTTTCTGATTTCTAAATATCTCAGTGATTTCAGAAGAAGATTTAGGGCTTCAGTATGGGACACTTGCTCTATAAACCTGATTTTCTTGCTACCGACACAGCATTTAAAAAGATTAAAAAAAAAAAAAATCTGAATGTTCTAAATCACCTTTCGTGGTATTTTCCAGCTGATTGGAAATAGCCGCAAACAACCATTTCCCTTCAGATTCCTTCAGATTGTTCTCTAGGAGACAGGATTTTCAAGTAAAACCGAGGGAGTGAGGGCGAGGAGATGGTGCTTAGAGCTGCTCTGGGAAGGTTAAACCTGCTCAGCGGTCACACGCTCCCAGCTGAGCACTGAGATCTTGGGGAAAGCCTTCTCGGTGATGCCAGCTCTCGGTCGTGTTTTCTTTCACTGCATGTGACAGCCATTTTGCAAATCTAAAATAAATAGCAATATCGCCCTCTCCCCCTCGCTCCTCCCTCCCGTCTTTCTCTCCTGACATTTCTTTTGTTGGCAGAGCTGAGGCGAGGTGCGCACCAAGATGAGCCCTTGGTGTTTCTGGTGCAGCAGGGAGGTGATAAAACCTCCAGAAGCCAGTTTCTGTTCTGCGCCTCTTGGGCTGCCCAACATGGCGCCTCTGCAGTGCTCACACATGATGTCTTCTTGATGCGCCCTACATGTTTGAGCAGAAGTCTTTAATGATAGATGAGCAATTCCCAGCTAGAGCTCCTCCCTGGGCTGCTGCGGAGGGGTGGCGGGGGGACTTGGGGATGACTAATCGTGACTCCCACAGGTCATTGCTAAAGAACAGTTGAAGGTGAACGGGAAGCAAGGAATAAATCCTCAAATCGATCTCCAAGCCAGAGGAGCGAGGGGAACGGTGAATTTAAGCCTCCAGCTCCCCGAAATTGTTGTGCCTGCAAGGCGGCCAGGCCTTGACTTTCCCTTCTTGTGTCGGACAGAGTCCTAGAGAAGAGGCAGAAGCCCGGGGACACCATCGAGCTGACTGAAGATGGAAAACCCATGGAAGTGCCCGAAAAGAAAGCCCCGTTGTGCGACTGTACCTGCTTCGGGCTGCCCCGGAGGTACATCATTGCCATCATGAGTGGACTGGGATTCTGCATTTCCTTCGGGATCCGATGTAACTTGGGAGTGGCCATCGTGGATATGGTCAATAACAGCACCATACACCGAGGAGGAAAAATTATAAAAGAGGTGGGAACTTTTCCCTCGTAAATCCCACATCCTCCCCAGTACAACTCTCAGTCAAACACCTCAGCACAGCTGGGACGGGCTCTGGATGGTTTCGCGGCATTTCCCCGCTCCCGAGCCCCGATGCTCCCCGGTCCCTCCCCCTGCCGGCCCCGCCGCTGCCCTTCGAAGGACGGAAATCCCGTTCTTGACGCAGAAACAATTTCTACCGATTATTTCTACTTTTTAATTTCAGTTCCTAGCCCCAGTTTGTGGTATTACTGTGCGTACAATTCGCCCCCCGCCGTGTCTTTCCCACACAGCCTTAAAAAAAGGCAGATACCTCCTAAAATAAACGTAGGGGATGGGAGAAGAAGAGCATCGAATAAGGGGCTGTTAGCGGGTGCATCTCGTCGTAAAGGAGGCGGGGAGGTTTTGCAGGAATATTTGAAAACACCAGGGTGAATTTGCTTTGACAAAAGGCGTTAAATGATAAGAGCCGTTTTAAAGCGAGTTAAAGCGTGGTGAGAAAGATGCGGCAAACGCAGATGAGTCTTAAACACCCAGATCCACAGACGAGCCCTTCGGGCTTGCTGGGCAGGAGGCGGGAGCGGGCTGTGCTCCCGCGGCCGCGCAGGGCTGTGGCTGTGGGCCCGAGCTGCCGGCCCTGCCCGGCCCTGCCCGGCCTGCCCCTGCGTGCCTCGCCCGGGCGGCTCAGGGCACTCGGGGACCCCGGCCCTCTGGGGTGCCGGGGAGGCACGGGCGGTGCTGGTTCCATTGCTGTGGTTTTGCGGGTTTGTTTTGCTGCTCTGGCGTTTGCCGTGGGGGGCTGGGGCAGAGCCCGGCGCCGGGACCCCCTGGATGGCACTGCGGGTGGAGCTGCTGCGGGTGAAAGTGGCGCAATTACAGCCTTCCTCTTGTCTTTCTCTCTGTCTGTCCCGGCCCCTTGCACTGGAAGAAAGCGAAGTTCAATTGGGATCCTGAAACAGTCGGCATGATCCACGGCTCTTTTTTCTGGGGATACATAATCACGCAGATCCCCGGAGGGTACATCTCGTCGCGGCTGGCAGCCAACAGGTAACACGGCGAGGGGCCGGGCTGCGGAGCGGGGCGCGGGGCTGAGCTCCGGGCCGGCGCGGCCGGGGCTCCCTGCGCTCTCGCTTAGCCCCGCTCGAAGGCACGGCCTTAGGGAGCTCCGGAAGGACGCTTCATGCGATCCGGCAGCTCCGCTGCGGTGGCGTATTGCTCACCCTCCTTCCAGCAAGCCCGCGCTTTTGCCAGGGATATCTCATGTTGGTTTCCTTTTCCTTTAGACAGTCATTAAGGAGGTTGTGGCAGCGGTATTCAAACAACACGTATTCAGAGGCAAATTCAAATATTCATTATTTCATCAAAGCTTGTGAGAGGTTTTTCTTTTTCTTTTTTTTTTCCAATGACTGAATTAAAGAATTTAATTATTTTTGTTTTAATGAAAAGGAAAACCGTCAGCAGGAATTTTTCATTTAAGCATAAATGAATTTAGAATGGTCGAAAAACATGCTTAAATGAGACTTCCACAATGAAAAGAAAGTGCAGATGGTCCGGGGACTTAAGGACTCGTTTCTATGGTGTCTGGCAATTTTTCAAGCACCCAGGGTGCGATTCTACCTGTTAATTAGATCCACTGAGTATTCGAGACACATGAGGCTTTCACGTCCCTGCTTAATGCCACAGGCTCATCGTTTGCAGAAGCAGCGAAGGTCCTAGTGCCACTCTTCAAAGCAGTACCGCACTAAGTGCACATGGATGCTAAACCCAGCCTATATACCTTTAACTCTTCTCAGGATGGGCAGCATGAAAGGTGGGCCTGGATGGGCAGAGAGGCTCAGCCTGATGAACAAGATGGCTTATGTGTGCTTGAGACTGAGAGGAAGGAGAGAGTGTGCCTAAAGCAAAAAATGGTGGTCTCCTCAAGATAAATAGGTTTTAGACAGATCTACAGTAGACACGAGTATTTGCAAACAGAGAAATGCTCTGTAACTGAGAAAACGCTAATATACTGCCCTTAAAAACAAGTAAATCAAAACATAGAATTTTTAAAGTGGGGTGTCCATTGTCTTTCTGTTTACAAGTGCCATCTTTCTGATAATGGTTCAGAAATCTAAAAGACTTTTTGAAATAGCCATTAACAGCCATTTAAAGGATTATTTACCTTTTATTCCTCCTTTAATCATTTTTGCATCTTTACACCGTCTGTAACTACTAAGGTTTAATTGGAGTTTTGGTTGAGTAAAGGCTGCAGAATCTGACCCAGACAATCAAAAGCTGTCTTCATTCACCCAAACAACATCAGAAAAGCCATTTGAACCAATTCAGATGTAAAGTGATGCAACTGCAGAGATTTGCAAGACAATGGCGGGGACATTGCCAGGAAAAGTCATTAGTAGAAGCACACTAGTTGTCATGCCGAATCTGATTTTTCTCTTCTTCACAAACATTCACATTTATGACAATAACTGAGGACTACTCCAGTTAAGGTAGGTGTATTTTTTCTAGTTAGGTGTTATTCCTGTGGAAGCACTTCATGACTCAGGTGTATTGTATCATTCCCAGGCATCTCACTGCCTAAATATTCTGTAGGAAACCCAGATTACTTGGGGTAGGCGCCCCAAGTGGTGTGGGCCTTCTTTTCTTTTTGTGTTTTTCACAACCAAGCCAGTGGCTGTAACTGGACTTGTGATATTTTTCCCGTTGGGAGACTGATGATTATCTGCCTAGAGTCTATGAACCTTTCAAAGATTCAAATACCATTATGGTACTGCTGATACTTGCTGTGCTTTTCACATTCCATCAGTCATTTGGGGAATAGGTATAAATGCTGATAAACTTGTGGCCACCAAAGGATCCAGTCGATCACATGATAAATTGAATTTTTGGTTGACTGAATTCTGTTCAATACATGACACTTGAGTGCAAGGTAACATCAGAGGGGGAAGGAACACTCTGAAAAGTAGTCTCACTGAGAGGGATCTTAAACCGTGTGGGACTAGAAACACATCACAAGCTTCCAGCATGATGCTCTACTAAAGTAATCAGTGTAATCCTAGAATGTTTTTTTTTTCTTTGTTTAGTGCAATGAGTGTATTTAAGTCAATGACCTTGGATTTTTGTGTGTAATTTGGACTCATTCATATTAGTATGGGTGTTGAAAAATTAGAGATTGCTTTAGAGATCTTTAATTGCTTCAAAAATGACAGTATAAAGTGATGCTTAGTGAACAAAACAGCAAGACCTATGTGTTCAGTATACATGTATACTGTATATAAAAAGATTACTGGGAGGTAATCTGATTGTAAGTATGCATAATAATTCCACTGGAAAAATTGCTTGGTATAAGTCTATGCTTTAGGCCTCTGGAAAGAGATGACAAGAATCAGCAACTGACAAACATACAAATTAAAAAAAGCTTAAATAGTAACAATAGTGACTACCCACCACTGGTTCAACCTGAGAAATTATGCTGTGGTGTTTTTCATTGTGTTTTAAATTCCTGTAGTAGAAGTTATGTTTTAGCAATTGTGAAGTCTTTTCAGTAGAGGGATAATTAAGTGAAATATAAGGGATAAACAAGTGTTAAGGGCTGTTGCCATAGTGAATTTCAGGCTACATGATCCTATAAGTAAGCACATGTTTTGTTTATAATCTAGAAATTTAATAATGTAATTCAAATTAATATTCCCTATTTCACATTCATGCTACTGCAGCTGTCTGTGAATAAACTGCCTGCTGTGCTGTCACACACATATGGAAAGGTGTGAAAATGTACTCAGTTTTATCACCTCATCTCAAGATAATTTGAGTATCATTATATTTTAAACTTCTGATACACCCTTTAAATGTCCTTTATGTTGGAAATCTATAACAGACCCCTTGCCCTGCCAAAAGCAATACTAAAATGCTGTGTCAGTATTTCCTCACTGATTTCCTAAGTGAACTATTTAAACATTTACTGTAAATCAGGAAAGATTCTTTGAAATTAATACAGCATTGTTAGATTACACAATAGAGAATCAATTCTCAATGCAGTTATATATTTAAAATAGAAATGCCAGTTTTGACTGTATGTGCCAAGCATTTTTTCAAAAGTAAGTCTGCAATAATCACAGGCTATTTTTTATAAAACAGAGCTGAGCAACCATTTTAGCTCATTTGTGTATACTCAAATATTAGAACCTTCTGACACAAAGAGACCCAAATGGCAGAATAGAATGTCAATTTTTTAACAATTAAAATCACCTGTGGTAATGACATGTATTTCGTATTATCTGTCAAAGCTCAAATCCTGGCAGTATTCACATTAAAAAATGTAACTACATGACTATACTACATTTCTCTACACTGTTATTATCTCTCATCTATGCTGAACTCTTAATCATTGTCATCCTAATCTGAATGAAATTATACAAATTAACATTTCACTTCAAATTATCTTACTTTCTCAATTGCCATTCTTCTTGTTATCAAAGGCTAAATCCTTCTTCCCAGCAAGTAATCTGATAGGATTATTTGTATGAATAAAATGAATGATATTTCAGACAACTGTCACTGCATCTTGTCTCAGAGTCCCACAGATTTTCACTGAAACTGTCATTAGCATGTCAGTGAAATCAGAATCTCTCTAACTGGGCCTTAATGACAACAAGCATAAAAATTTAAGGTAAAGTATTGGTTTAGAAATACAAGTAGAAAGATGTCCAGAAGAGCGCATCTTTACATTTCTCTATTTTAAAAAGAGAAATTGTTCCATTCTTTTAGCGGGTAGGCATACTGTGTGTTTTCTGATTTGCAAACAATGATTAATTCACAGCATGAGCAGGGGATTAGTGGATGATTAAACAAGTGCCAATTTCTGAACTTCTGAGGACTTAAGATGACCTTGCATTGTGAGGGAAATCCCCCCAGAGCTGCACTTGCCAACCTCACCTTTCATATTCAGTCCAAAATCCTGCAGATTGAGCTGGTCTCTGATCCCTGGCACTGGTGTGGGGCTCATCTGTTTCCAGGCAAAGAAACCAATACTGCACAAAAACCCCCAAGCTGATTTTGTCACCCTGCTGCATTGCAGACTCTTTGAAGTACCAGTCTTTCCAAGAAGGGGACTGGGGAAACTGGTAGCTGGTACTGCTGCTCCCTCTGCCATATGGTTCAGGGTCCTTCCATTTTTCTGTCATGAATGATGAAGCTGTTTTCACAATTTAATGATGCAACAAGGGATTTAGATGGGGGTTTTGCTTGATAAAAGGGGGCCTCAGATGTGTGACAAAAATTAATAATGTATCCAAGCCCTTATTATACTAGATTAGATGGCGGGAGGTCGGCTTTTACATATTAATGTTTCATGAAGGGCTTATAATAGGATTTAGTATGAAGAGCACAGAGACACATACCCCTCCTCCCATATACACATATGAATGAAAATAACCTGGTTTATCTTGATTTAAGAAAGCCAAATAAAGCTGTTCTACTATGGCTTCTGGCCACAGACTGTTTTTAAAGAGGTTCAGTTTTAAGCAATTCTCCTATGAAGCATGTTCGACCTAGGACTGGTGCTTGGGAATAAGTGTTCATCTCTAATGGCAAAGGTAGATTATTCTCTCTTGCTTTTTTGGGTGGCTGAGTTCATCTAGCACTCCCAATATTCATGACACAATCCCAGTTTTGTTAGCCCTGTGCTGTTTTATGCAAATTAAAGGTCCGATTCAGGAAAAAACCACTACATTCTGTCTATCATTTAGGAAAACATAAATTGTCAGGGTGAGCATTTCACAGGGCTGTGTTTACAGCAGAGGGGTCACCAGAGTCATTGGAAAACGAGCCTGTACTGACATAAGTCAGAATGACTATGTATGCCACAGAATAGCTAAACAATGTCTCCCCTTAATGTCTCCCCCATAAGTTACTTGGTTAATTTGAAATACATAAACATAAGTGAAAGTCATCCCAAGCAGGGTTATTATCACCGAAGGGGTATCGGGACAGCCAGATGTGATACAGAGACTCCATCATCAGAAGGCATGAAAAGACACTTTTTTTATTAG